GTGAGACAATGGGTTCATGCTCACAGAGTTCACTGGTCTTACCATGTCCTTACTACCTAGAAATATCTGGCTTGATAAAATTCTAGAATGGCCTACTGAAGGCTCAGTTATGGCATCATCTGAGTGACAGTACCCTGGAGTATTGGAGTGCTGCCTTACAGGATGTAGTATATGCCTTAAATCATTAGTCAGTATGTGCTGTCTCCTTCACAGCCAGAATGCATTGTCTGGGGAAAAAAATGGGCACAGCTGACTAGTGGATGTTGCTGTCTCCCCATCCTAAAAGTACACAGACCTGGGAACCAAAGGAAAAAACTGAATGCGGCCCCTTTCACTATTATGCCACATAATCTATGTAAAATTATCACTTTCCATTCCTTCAGCCTTGGACTCAATGGATTTGTAGGTCTTAATGCACAAAGAAGAAATTCCTCCAGGGAACACAGTAATATTCCCACTGAATTGGAATTTGAGACTCACAACACAATTCTTTAGAGGGTACAAATGGTCAGATAAGTGTGTCTAAGTGAACAGGTCATAATTTCTATCTTTTACAAGTTGAGAGTTACCAATACCTGGTTGAGAAAGAACATTTTCATAATTTTTTTCATTTTAAGATTATTTTATTCTCATCAGGTCTCACAAAAGTCCCTGGCAACTCCAAATGATATTCCAGATAGTATGCTTTGGTGCCCTATTTGAGGTAGTACTCCATGTTGCTTTATGGGAATAATGCATCATTCCATATGGGCATTATACAATATCATTTTGCACTCTCAAAACTATCACACATAAAATTCTGTAGAACGGTAATATATATATTTAGAGGTAAGACTTTCAGAGGGAGAATTGAAAAAATTTAGTCAAAAGAATAATATACTGGATGCTTTTTGCTTGAGAAGAATGTATATTCTGTTGGATGATGTAGTCTGTAGATGTCCATTATATGCAGCTAATTGGTGGTAGTGTTGAGTTCTACTATGTCCTTACTGATTTTCTGGCTGCTGCATCTGTACATTCTGGCAGAAGGATGTTGAAATCCCTAACCATAACAAAATAATCCTAATTCCTCCCTTCCATCCCTTGTATCATTGCTGTTATTCATTTCACTCATATATATAAGCGTATAGGTGATATATACAAACACACACAATTGAATGCATTGTTGCTATTATTTTGAATAAAATGTGGGGACTTCTAAGCTTTTTTACGTGCTGTACCACAAGCCCCCTGGTTGCTCTTGGCTTGGAAAGAATTCTAACAATCCTTTACAAACTTAAATTTAATTCACTGTAGATTTTTTTTTTT